TTAAGGCGTTGTAGACAGGTCCCAGATGAGGGGTTACCCAAATTTAGGCGGTGTCCTGAGGTCGACCTTTATGGGCGGAGCTCGAAGTGCTCGTTCCTCTTCTTGAGGGGAACCTTTGAGACGAATACCATCTTGAACTCTTTAATGGTGCTGAAGGCTTCCTGGAGCCTAACTTCCTACTGATGGAGGTCCACGAAGTCGGGTACCACCTCGGGACTGGAGATGATGCCATTGGCTTCTTTAAGCCTAACTTCTTATTGATTGGAGGTCCTCGAGGTCGGGTACCACCTTGGGACTGGAGATGATGCCATTGGCTTCTTTAAGCCTAACTTCTTGTTGACGAAGGCCCTCGAGGTCGGGTACCACCTAGGGACTCGTATCGAAGTCGTTGGCCACCCGGGGCCTATCTTGATCAGGCGGACCGTTACTGTTTCCCCATATATCACTACAAAATAAACCTCAATTGCTAACGAATTTTACCAACCAACCGAATTTGTTAGTGTATTAGCAACAAATTACTAACAAAATCGTAACTGATTTATTTTTCAAAATTTAGTAACATATTCCTAATGAATTGCCAACCAAAATTTTACTAACGGAATAATTTAGTTGGTAAATATGGCGGGAAAAATTGGCGGCTAATCTAGCAACCGCCTACTAACGGATTACCAACAAACACTTTTCGTTGGTAATATTACCAACGGAGTACGTATACATTGGTAAATATGGTAGAAAAAATAAAGTATAGTTTATTAACAGATTAGTAATGAATTACCAACCAATTATTTACCAACACAAGGATTTGTTGCTAATTTTACTAACCAATTTAAAATGCGTTAGTAAATTACCAACCGAATAGTATCTGTTAGTAAACTTTCCAACGGATACTAAATCGGTTGGAAATCTTTACTAACAGATTCAGATTGTGGTTTGTAATTTAGTAACATATTAAAATTAGTTGTTAATATTACGTACAATATGTAGACAATAAATTGCGCCAAGAAAATAAAATCAAGACCGAAAAATATTGCGACAATCGTAGTATTTGATTTTAAATAATATGAGTGTACAATCTCTATGAATCCTCCGATTCTTCTTTTCAATAGTAAATAAATTCAAGGGCCTTTGATCTTGATCTTGAATATGCAGTTATTTCCACGAACGATGATCTTTGGTGATAATTTATGGTTGGCTAGTTTAACGGCAACATTAGTGCCTTCACGACCTATGATAAGAACGGGGTGGTGACACAGTCACACTTACTAAGATTAGAAGAAGATTTTTGGCGACTAAAATCAAGGATAAATTGGTTACACCAGGGAGATGCAAATACAAATTTTTTCCACCTAATTACCCTTCAACGGAGGAGAAGAAATAGAATCACTGCCCTCAAAGACTTAGGTGGAAATTGGATCACGGAGCAACGACTAGTTGACTCCCTAATAATGAGTTAGTACGACTCACTATTTACCACTACTCACACACAATCTACTATTAAAATAATAAACCACGATGGTAGCACTCTTACAAATACTGACCATTTATATCTGTCAAGACCTTTATCTATAAAGGAAATATACCAATACCGTTTAGTCCTTTCAACCTCTCAAAGCACCAGGGCCAGATGGACTTCATCCCTATTTTTACCAACAATATTGGCCTCAAATCTCTACATCTGTCGTCTCCTTTTGTAATGAGGTATTTAATTATGGGAAATTACCTCTACAGGCAAATGCCACTTACCTATGTCTAATCCCTAAAATCAAGCACCCTTCCATGATTACCCAATATCGCCAAATTGGGCTATGCAACACTATCTATAAAATTATAACCAAGTTGATTGTACAACGCATAAAGCCTTTAATAAATAAATTAATTAGCCCTGAACAATCTGCTTTCCTAAAGAGCTGCTGATAACGCTATCATAGATCTAGAAATCCTTCATAACTTTGGAAAAAATAAAGGCAAAATTGCAAAATTTTTAATCAAACTAGATCTTGAAAAGGCATTCGATAAAATGGAATGGGGGTTCATCAAAGAAACCTTACATTTCTTTAATTTTTCCACTAAAATTATTTCTATCATTATGTCTTGTATAATAACTACTTCCATATCAATCCTTATAAATGGACACCACTCTCTGTTTTTCCACCCAACTAGGGGCATTAGGCAAGGTGACCCGTTATCCCCTTACATCTTGATATTATGTCTAGAACGTCTCTCAAGGCAAATACACATTACCAAAAATGGAAAGCAATCAAACTCTCCCATAACAGGCCCCTAATATCTCATCTACTTTTTGCCGACGATATCACCTTAACATCAAACATAACTACTTCAACTGTGCACACCATAATAGATACACTAACAACCTTCACCCAGAAGTGTGGCCAAAGTATAAATTTCGAAAAAGCGAAAATCTATTTTTCTAAAAACACTTCCCCATCAGACAAACACTTTGTCTTATCATCTTTTAACATGAGGGAAGGTACCAACTTTGGTAAGTACTTGGGATTCCCCTTGTTTGTAAAGCGACCCACTTCAAATGACTTTCAGTACATACTTGATAACTTCTAAACAAGATTATCAGGGTGGAAATCTCAATTTCTTTCGATGGCAGGTCAGACTACCTTAATAAAATCTACTTTAAACACCTTACCGAACCATGTAACGCAATACATTAAACTTCCTTCACAAGCCATTCACAGAATGAACCATTACTAAAGAAACTTTCTCTAGGGCACTACTGAGTATAAAAAACGAATTCACTTAGTAAAATGGGAAGTAGTTCAAAGACCTAAAACTAACAGGGGGACTAGGCATTCAAAACTTAACTACTACAAATAATGCACTATTAGGACATCTTGCTTGGCGTCTGTTTAAAAATCCTAATTCACTTTGGGCATCCATACTACTAAATAATTTTGTGCATAGAAAATCGGGAGCTCAGGGTTCCTCCACCTGGAGAAATATTTTAGCGGGATGGAATCTATGCCAAATAGGCCTAGTATGGCATATTGCATGGGGCACACATATAAATATGTGGCACGACCCATGGATAGTACCAAATATAACTCTTAGACAATTAGTCCACGGACCTCTACAATCTCATAAAACTCAACGCACACTTAGCAACAATATCTCTAATAACGCCCATATGTCTTATGTATAAGTTGGCATTACCTATTGTATTCTACCTATTTCACGAAAGCCTCTTCGGTTCAGTTATCTATGATAGTATGACATGAAAAGATACGTTATCTTGGTACTCGGTTGAGTAAGGTACCGGGTACCCGTCGCGGCCCATCCGTTTGGGTCGTGACAAATATGAAGAATAAACTAACAATATTATAAAGAAAAGTATAACATATGGTAAAATAATTATATAAAAAGATAGGGTAAATGATAAAATAAAATTATTTAATAATAATGAAGGGTGAGATAAGAAAAAAGACAAGGTAACGACGCGACCACACCAAATCGGTCATTACATAAAGTGGCACTTTTCGTCGTTAGTGACGACGGATTTAACGATACGATAAGATACAATTTTAGTAACAATCAAAACAAATATTGTATTAAAAGTAACAATACGGTACAATACAATAGGTAACAACCATCCAAACAAGCTGTAAATTATTTTTGGACTTAGTTTATATTTTGTAATTTAAACATGAGTGCAATTATTTTTTATTTTTTTATACACATAGTTTGGTGCAATTAAAATTTATTATTTCATATGATAATTTAATAACCAAAGATACATGTATATGCCACGTGACTAGTTACTAATAACATAGTAGAATAGTCTAAAATGAAATTACTAAAATACTCAAAAAGAAAAATGGAGAAAACGATATAAATTAGAAAATTTCCAAAGAGACAAAGAAAAGAAGAAGAAATTAAATAAAAAGAAGAAAAAAAATAAAGAAGCTAAGTATGCCGCCAAAACTTTCCCCCATCTCCTAAATTACATAGAACTCCCGCGCCATTTCAGTTTTTTCTACCCACGATCACAATATGCTAAATCCTTGCAATTATTTTTCCCAACTGAAAGAATATCTCAAGCAGCCTCTCACAAGCTATCGTTTGGATTCTTCTCAATTCCACAATCCATTCGGCTAAGTGGTAAGTCTCTCACAAGCTATCGTTTGGATTCTTCTCAATTCCACAATCCATTCGGCTAAGTGATAAGTATTTTTTTTTATCAATCTAATTTTTTCAGTATATATTGTAGATATGTTGATATGCTATATTTGTTTGGTTATATAGATATTGAATCAGTATATTTTGTAGTTGATGGCTTATATAGATTAAATAAGACAGAATATAAGGATACCAGATACTTCTTGTGAGCTTCACTTAATTTTTTTTTGTTGTCCCACTTTTCTCTTGATTTCAAACAAAGGACTCGTTTCTTTTCCTGAAAAATATAGGAACATCCTATCATTCTTTAATTTTTTTTTAGTCCTTTGCTATTGGCATGTAACTATCTCTTCCAATCTCTATGTGAACATTTATTGTGCCATTTTTTTGCTAAATAATTGAAAGCTTGTGCTCATTATAACGGGGATTTGAGACCTAATTTGATTATTAGTACTCTTCTTTTACTGTCCAAAGATTTTTAGAAATCAATAAATGCTACTGTAATATTTTTACATTATCAGGAAAGAAAGTTTGTCAGAAAAATGACTTCAAATCGTGAGTGGATGTACAAAAGGTTAACGAGAGGTTTGTATAATCCAGCATTCCTAAGGGGTGTTGAGCAATTTATTGAGTTTGCAAAGAATCATCAGAAAGGGAAGGATGGTGAGAGACTAAGGTGCCCATGTAATCGAAAAAAGTATCAGAATAGAAATTTTGAAGATGTTCTTACGGTCCACGAGCATTTGTTGCGTGATGGCTTTGTACCTGGATATCATACATGATACTTGCATGGAGAAAATGAGGTTACGAGAAATATAGATCAACATGAAGAGACGCAAAATTGTAATCAGACTATGAATACTGCATCAGCAAATATGGGTGCAATTGATGAGCCTGGATCATCTACCTCATACCATAGAATGGTCCTTGACGCTGCTGGCCCCTCATTCGATCCGAGTGATATGGATGAATTGTCGAACCCTGATGCGCAGAAATTTTATGATATGATTGATTCTGCAAATCAAGAGGTGTGGCCTGGCTGTGAAACACATTCTCAATTGTCAGCTGTTGCACGTTTGTTGCATATCAAGTCTGAACACCATTTGTCTGATAGATGTTTTGATGATATTTGTCAATATGTGAATGAGATGATTCCTCCTGATAACTTGATGCCAAAAAATTTCTATGAAACTAAGAAGTTAATGCAGGGAATGAACATGCCAGTAAAAAAAATTCACAGTTGTATTAATGCCTGTATGATTTATTGGGGAGAAGACGGTGAACTTAGCCATTGCAAGTTTTGTCGTCATCCCAGGTACAAGCCTACTAGGCAAATATCTAATTCAAAGAGAAATCTTGTACCATTCAAACAGATGTTATACTTTCCCCTTACTCCATGGTTGCAACGCTTATATGCTTCCGACATGACTGCTGCACATATGCGATGGCATGCCGAGCATGAAGTTGAGGAAGGTGTGATGCGTCACTGTTCAGATGCACCCGCATGGAAACACTTTGATAAGATGCATCCATCTTTTGCAGCTGAAAGTCGTAATGTCAGATTGGGGCTATGCACAGATGGTTTTCAACCATTTGGACAAACAGGTCAACAATATTCATCTTGGCCAATAGTTGTGACACCATACAACTTGCCGCCTTGGATGTGTATGAAAGAGTCCTATTTGTTTTTGTCAGTTATAGTTCCTGGGCCAAAGAATCCTAAGCAAAAACTTGATGTTTTCTTGCAGCCTTTGATTGCTGAACTAAAAAATCTGTGGAGTATAGGTGTGGACACATATGATATCTCTAAGAAGCAAAATTTTAACATGCGAGCTGCTTTGATGTGGACAGTCAGTGATTTTCCTGCATATTCGATGTTGTCTGGGTGGGGTAATGCGGGTAGGCTAGCATGTCCATATTGCATGGAGAATTCAGATGCTTTTACTTTGACAAAAGGTGGCAAACAGTCCTGGTTTGACAATCATCGTCCATACAGAATTAATAGAAATTCATTGAGAAAGAACAAAGTAGTCACAACGCATCCTCCCCCAATACGGTCTGGTGATGATATCTTGAAGGAGATAAATCAATTGGGGTTGAAAAAGGTAACAGAACTTGGGGCTGATATTGTTAATGGCAAAATTAGCAAGTTTTCTGGTTGGAAGAAAAGAAGCATATTTTGGGATTTACCATATTGGAGTACAAATCTCATTCGGCACAATCTAGATGTTATGCACATCGAGAAAAACTTTTTCGAGAATGTGTTCAATACAGTGCTAGATGTAGATGGTAAAACAAAAGATAATCCTAAATCTAGAGAAGACTTGAAAGAGTTTTGTTGACGTCCTGAATTACATGCTGTTGGTGGTGAATATCCGAAAGCTTGTTACACACTAGACAAGAAGTCAAAAAAAGTGTTGTGTGAATGGGTGGAAAATCTGAAATTTCCAGATGGATATGTCTCAAATATGGGAAGGTGTGTGGACATGGAAAAGCATAGATTGTTTGGTATGAAAAGCCACGATTGTCATGTATTCATACAAAGATTGGTCCCTATTGCATTTCGTGAGCTATTACCACAAAAAGTTTGGGAACCACTTGCTGAGATGAGCCTTTTCTTTAGGGATCTCACTTCTACGGCAATTCGGCAAGAGGATATGGTCAGACTTGAACAAGAAATACCTGAAATACTTTGTAAATTGGAGCGTATATTCCCTCCCATCTTCTTTGATTCAATGGAACATCTTCCCGTGCATCTTGCTTACGAAGCAAGGATAGCAGGTCCGGTGCAATATCGATGGATGTACCCGTTTGAAAGGTAAGATTTCATTAATATTAATTCAATCACTTCATTTCCATAATCATGAAAGACTCACAATTTGAGCTTATGTGTTATTTCCAGGAACCTTCGAAAATTAAAAAAAATGTTCGAAATAAGGCACGGGTTGAAGGATCCATATGCAATGCGTATTTAGTTGAGGAAGCTTCATCTTTTTGTTCACACTACTTCAAACCTCATGTTTACACAAGGCATAGGAAAGTTCCACGGAATGATGATGATGGTATAAGTGAACGGGATGAACGCGATGGTAATCTTTCTATATTTACCTATCCAGGTAAAGCATTTGGGAGATGTAAACCAAGATATATGACTGAAGAAGAACTTGATGCAGCTCATATTTATATTTTATTAAATTGCACAGAAGTACACCCATATATTGAGTAAGACTTCAAGCTTTTGTTTTCATTTATAGATTAGCAAAATCATCAAAACACTTAATATATAATTTTTTTGGATGTGATTCAAAGGATTTTTATTGACTCCCTTCGTCAAAATTTTCCACAAATTACGGAGAAGGAAGTGGATAGGAAACTTGATGAAGATTTTGCATCATGGTTTAAAAGATATTTGAGTACTTGTACAATATCCTTCCACTTATACTTACCTCACTTATGAACAACTCTAATTATTTTTCTTTTACAGGCACGAGTCCACATAGATAATCAGTTCATCAAGGCCCTTGCAGAAGGTCCGTGTCGAACAGCACAACCATGGACCGGTTATATTGTCAATGTCTTTAAATTTCACACTAAAAGCCACAGTTCTTCTAGAGCATCCAGCAACAGTGGTGTATGCATAAAAGGAACTAATTATAGTGCAGATGATAGTGACTACTATGGTGTGCTAACTGATATCCTTGAATTGGAGTATAAGGGTAGTGAGTATATAAAGAGAACTGTTTTATTCAAGTGTGAGTGGTTTGATCCCACACCAAAAGCAGGAATGAAGATTCACCCACAATATAAACTTGTGGATATCAACCATGAGAAGAAATTTAAAAAGTATGAACCATTTGTTTTGGCAATGCAAGCGGCTCAAGTGTATTATGCAACTTATACTAGCTTACGACGTGATAAGAGTGACTGGTGGGATGTGTGTAAAATAAAAGCACGGGGTATTACGGACATGCATCCATCATCTTCACAATCACCTCCGAAAGATGATGTTGAGCCATTCCAATCTGAGGAAGATGGTTTAACATTTGGCGTGGTACCTGACAATGAAATCGTTCTCCTGAATGATCCAAATGGTGAATTCATAAACATAAGAGACGAGGTCCACGAGGATCATGATTTAGATGATGAGGTAGAACTTCATGTTGAATTTGGATCAGATGAAGATGGGGATGAGGATGAGGATGAGGATGAGGAGAATGAGGATGAATAGCCATATGATGAAAATGGCAGTGAATAGAGTCAAAATGCTTCAATGTCTTCAACTATAGAGTCTGAATGAATGAAACATAGTATATAATTTGTTTTTATTACTATTTCATTTTACATTTCTTGCGGAAAAGTTCTTAGGTTTCATATTTTATGGGTTCTTGGATGTTTTTAACTTAAGTATTTGTATTTGATAGTTCTTTTGCTTGCTTGTTTGACCCGTTACCCTCACTCTCATTTTGTGAGGATTAGTAGTTGTATTCTTTAGGTGCAGTAAGAAACACTTATAAAGTAAGTTTGTTTCTTTTCACATGTTTGTCTTTTTAATCTGCTATGTCTAGATTAATACTTGTATGTCTTATTTTTTTCATAGCATCCTGTTCTTGGACTAATGTATAAGTTAATTACTCTTGGAATAATATATCAATTAACTACTTATTACTGTATCTAATTAGATGCGGCCATAATTCATTAATTATGTTATTTTTTCATCTACATATGATTTTGGAATTGTAGATATGGCACCTAGGGGAGGTGGAGCACGTAGATATGCTGAAAATACGAATGCAAATTCACCGAGATCTCCTGAGATGTTGAGTCCCACATCTAATCAATCACCATTATCACCTGAACCTCCGGTACAAGAAATGCCACATTCAGATGCAACTATAAACAGATCCTTACCATCTTCATCTTCTGATCTTGGTGCACCTGGAGATGAAATCCGGTCAGCAAGTTCGTCAAACACAGTTGGTGGTACCCGTATCCCAATTACAATCGTCCCAGGAGGGTAAGAGTACGAGTGTCATCCCTTTTTTTTTATTCATTTCTATTTTGTGCCTATAACGTGTGTATCATTTCATCTTTGTGAATTCATACCTGATTGTTTAGCATCTAGAAAGATAGATACATATTTAGACTATTGGGTCAGACACTAAGGCTGTATGGTGGGCCGGGCCCGGGCCTAAATGGGCTAAACGGGCCGGGCTAAACGGGCCTGGGCTTAGCGGTCCCGGGCTCTGGCGGTCCCGGGCTTCGCGGTCCCGGGCTTCCTGGGCTCAACGGGTAGGACCAGCCCGTGACGGGCCTAAGCCCATATGGTCCTGGGCTAAATGGGTCGGGCTCGTGTGCTTAGCGGGCCTAACGGGCTTTTTTTATTTCCGGGCTTTTTTTTTTAATTTTTTTTATTAGGCAATTTCTTATAAACCATATGTGTATGTATATATATAAATTGCCCTTATGCATGGCTATATAAATATATGTAGTATATATAATATAGAAATCTAATTATTAAAGTGTTTGACGAAAATATAAAATAACAAATCAATAGTAAAACTAAATTGGCATGCATAATAAATTAATAACAAAGTACAACATGAAGCATAAATACGTCTAATAATTTTAAAATAACACAAATTGTTGAAAAATCTTAAAGACGAATTTGCGGATAAATACCCTCAACACAATACTTTATATGCCTCCTTAAAATGCCTGTGGTACACCCTGAACGAAAATTTAAGACTCTTCCACAGTTCTTGCACTTTAATATTTGGCCTTCTTCATTTTCTTCAAGCACTTCATAGTATTGCGAAACAAATAAGCGCACTCTTTCCGAACGAGGCATGATTTAACTTGAAAATTGAGATTGAGACTTGAAGTCTTGAAAATTGGAGATTGAGAGATTGAGAGAAATTTAGATTGAGAAATGAGTATTGAGTATTGAAATGAAGAAGAGGGAGGGGGTAACTTATAGTGTTAGAGAAGGTTAGTTTTGTAAATTGAAAAAAAAAACGGCTATTTGTGCAATAATATGACCGTTGGTGGTCATTGGGGGTGGGGCCCTCATTTTGAAAAATCTTGTTTTGTAGTATATATAGTACTACTTCTTCATGTAAATATAATATATATAGTATACTAGTATAAGTATACTATATATAGTATGTTATGTATATAATTCCTTATATATTTTCTTGTAGTATATATTGTATGTTATGTATATATATTCCCTTATATATTTTCTTGTAGTATATATTGTATGTTATGTATATATATTATAGCTTATAAATAATTGCAAGTTAAAGACAAAAAAATATTGCAAAAGATATTCAAGGGCATGTCTTATAATTTTTATTACCAAAATGACATATCTTTCTTAGTCTTCTTCCCCCCAATGGAATGAGCACAACAAGGTACTAATACCACCATTAAAAGGAAAAAAAACTAAAGAAGATATGCCAAAGTACAAGTTACACCATAACCTACATTGTATCTCTAACAAATCTCATAAATCCTTCAAGGTTCGGAGGAGGTTCCGTTGGTGGTGGCGGAAAAGAAGCTTGTTCATCACCGCTTCCGGGCGAAGCAATCCTCGCAAGTTCGGCTATCATTTCTTCATAAGCTTCGTCTATCTCCGGTTGTGATTCCTGCAAGTCCAAAAGTTTCTTCTTTCCGGAGCGGATCCAATCTCTGAATAGTACTGGATTTTTTCCAAGCTCTCCCTCATAGATGCTCTATGATCACCTATTTGAAGTCTTGCTTGACTGAAAGCGCTCTCTGATGCACTGTTGAAGCTTGAATAGATAAAATATCCCCGAGCCATCCTTGCAAGAACCGAAAAAATATTTTTTCCCTTGCCTTCCACCATTCCAAAAGATCAAAGGTGCCGTCTGGATTCTCCTTTTCAAGTCCCTGCGTACAAAATAAACTTGAAGCTCATTTAGATGTGAAGTCTCATCAAAATTATCACCTTGAGAACCCCTAAACTCCGTCCAAGATTTAAGTGCTTTTAGGCCCGCAGCTCTTTTAGATGATTGTGAACTAGACGAAGTAAGGGTTGGAACATTTGGCCTAGCATGATCTAACGCAAGTTGATAAGCATTATAAAATTGTTTGAGCATTTATTTTAATTGAGGCTTTTGCCTCTGCAAGTGTAGAAAATTCCTCAACTGAAAGATCTAAAGCCTTATAAATATTTGAGTACCAAAAGTGAGGACCTCCTAATTTCATTGTAGGATTTAACATTGCAGCAACACCATAAATAGGGGGGATAGGGAAAAAATATTTTTTAAACTTTTCTTTCATTGCATTTATAGCAAGTTTATAAATTTCCCCACCCTCC